CCTGCTATTATTGGATTTCAATTTATCTCTCCATTTAGATCAATAATATGTGTTAATATATTTAGGTACAAATTTGTATGCATATATTTTTACAAAGTTAATATCCTCTTGTTGAATTGACTTCATCATTTTATAATCAGCTTTTATGTCTCTTTTTACAGTTTTTGACTTAAACTCTATTTTATCAGATATAAATATAGTTACTCCTGCTTTTCTTTGGGTTTCAATTTGCATGAAGTATTTTTTTTCCTTCCCTTCACTTTCAGTCTCTTTCCTTAGAGGTGAAGTGAATCTCTTGTAGGCAGCATACAATTAGATCTTATTTTTAAAGATCCATTTAGCCCCTCTATATTTTAGCTGGAGAATTTATTCATTTATATTCAAAGTTAGAATTGATGGGTAAAGACTCCTGCCATTTTGTTTGTTGTTTTCTGGTTGTTTTATAGATGTTTTGTTCCTCTTTGCCTCTGTTTGATAGTTTTCTGTAGTGCTAAGCTTTGATTGTTTCCTTGTTCTCATTTGTGTATCTGCTGTAATTTTTTTGTTATCATGAGACTTATATAAAAAATTATTAAGTTATAAAGACTATTTTAAGTTGAAAACAACTTAACTGTGGTCACATACAAATACTCTAGACTTTTACCTTACCCCACCCCCACAATTTATAATTTTGTTGCCTTAATTTACATCTTTTTAATTCTGTGTGTTTCTTAACAACTTATTGTAGCTATAGTCATTTTATTTTAGTTTATTATACTGTATTATTGTTTATTATACAAGTTCTGGGGTACATGTGCAGGACATTCAGGTTTGTTACATAATTAGACACATACCATGGTGGTTTACTGCATCCATCACCTCGTTATCTACATTAGGTATTTCTCCTAATGCTATCCCACCCGTAGTCCCACACCCCTTGACAGGCCCCTGTGATACCTCTATTATCACTGTCTGCTTCAGGTGATAGTATGTTGCTTCACTTTGAGGCTCATGACCTCACCACAGTGTACTTCTATTCTCCTTTCCTAATATTGGTTCTGTTGTTGTCCACTTCTCTGATGTTCTAAACCTCATACTACTTTATTTTTATGATCAAAGTCAGCTTTCTTTTAAAAATAAATAAGAAAAAATTATATATTTACACTTGTGGTTACCATTTCTATTACTCTTCTTTCCCTTGTATAGATTCAGATTTCTGTCTGCTATCATTTTCATTCTGCCTAAAGGATTTCCTTTGTCATTTCTTGTAATGAGGTCTGCTGGTGATGCAGTCTTCCAGCTTTTTTATGTCCAAGAAGATATTTATTTTGTCTTTATTTTGAACGATATTTTTTCAAGTCTGGAATTCCGAGTTTGTTTGTTTTTTTTTTCTTTCATTACTTTGTGTTTGTTGCTCCACGTCTTCTCATCGGCATTGTTTCTCTTGACACATCTGCCATCATCATTCTCTTTGTTACTCTATACAGAGAATATAGAGAATGTCTTTTTACTTCTGTACACTCTTAATGTTTCCTCATGGTTACAGATTTTGATCATGATGGCCCAGACACAGTTTTATGTTTTATGCTTAAAGTTCACTGACTTTTTCCTGCTTCTTTGCAGGCATGGTAGTTTTTTATTGGATGATACATGTTGTGAATTTTACCTTCTTGGGTGTCGGATGTTTTTTGTATTCCTGTAAATGCTCTTGAGTTTTGTTCTGGGAAGCTGTTAAGTTATTGAAAGGAGTCTAATTCATCCAGGTTTTGCTTTTGTTGGATAGAACCAGAGCAGTGCTCAGTTGCTGAGTTAGCTCAACGGCTAACTCTCCCATTCCAGATGCAGAACCCTCAGTGTACTCCATTCAATGCCCTGTACATCATGAAGTTTTCCGTCTGGCTGATGGGACCCGGCCCTCTGTCCAGTGCTGTGTGTGCACCAGGCACTGTTACCTCATCATTTCTGATCATTCGTTCCTCAGAGGCACACGTTAACCCACTAAAGGTTCAAGGGACCCTCTGCAGATCTTTGGGTCTTCTTTCTCTGCAACTCTTTCCTCTCCAGGTCTCTTTTATGCTCACTCTGGCTTCCCTGATCCTCATGTCCTCTCAGCTTCATCTTCGCAACTCAGGGAGTTTTCCAGGCTCTTCCTGGGTTCACCCTCCCTGGTTGTGGCCTGGTGACTCTCCAGAGGCCATAGCTGGCCAGTCATGGGGCTACTCCATTCGATTCTCATTTCTCAAGGATCACTGCCCTTTGTTGCAGATTTCTAACATGTTGAAAACTACTGTTTTGTACATTTTGACTTTGTGTTTGAGGTTTGAGTGAGAAAGACAATTCAGTCCATGTTTTTCCACTGCAGTCAGAAGCAGAAGTTAATGTCATAACTTTGTACTTTGAAGGCTAGACAAGTTTTCACAGAGCATTCCTTCTAGAGAACAAACTTGGCTCTACTATTGGGTGTCCCTGGATGGGAACCCCACTTCTCTTTTAGGCTTCAGCTCAGATTCTACTTCCTTCAGAAATCCCTTTTGGGCACTCTACCTTCCCTCTGTAGCTTATGTTTTCTCTCTTACACCAGATCATTCTGCTGTTTTTATGTTTGTATATGGCAAAAATGAATGAGATATAATCCTCGCTATGAATAAACTCACCGTATTTGTTTTTCTCCATGGAGTGAAAATGTTTTAAGCTCACATAATGACCATGGTTAGGGAAAGAGCCACACAAATAATTAGGATATATTGTGACAGTGCACAAATGGAAACACACATAATGTGCCTGAGAACATGACACTTGCTGGCGTCACGTTTCCTTCCCTCACCTGACCAAGCTCAGCCAGACGTGTGCTGCATCTTCCCCATGTTTGCTCTTCAGTGCCATGGATGGGAGAGGCGCCTTATGGACAGGTGCCTCATTGAACAGCAGATCCGTGAATGTCAGGCTGGGAGTGTGGTCTCTGGGTTCAGGCCTAGGTTTACATCCTGGTTCTGCCTCTTAACCACTCTATGCTTCAATGGGAGAGCAGGAGGTCCTGCTTAGTTTTGGATGTGCAAAGTTTGAGATGCCTGCTAGAGATCCAGGGGGAAGCATGGTGAAGAAAGCTAATGTGCAAGCCTGGAGTTCAGGAGGGAGGTGGTGTCTGCGGATGGAAATCTCGAGCCAGTAGCAGTTGGTTCTTAGTGTCGTGGGACACAGGAGGTCATGTAAGAAGCAAATGTGGACAGAGAGGGAAGGAGTTTGAGGATTGGGTCCTGGGCACACCCACATCTGGAGGTGGAGGAGATGATGAAAGCCAGTGAAGTAAACTGAGACACGGTCATTGGGGCAGGAGTATAGCAGGCTAGGGCAGAGACCTGGAAGGAGAGAGAAGAGAGCCTTTCACAAAGAAGGGAGTGACCGACAGTGTCCAGAGGCTCTGTACTTCTGTGTGCTTGAGTACAGAGTCTGGGCTTCTCTTGAGCATCCTTTGCTCCACTGGGATGGAAGATGGGACCTGCTAAGACTGGGGTTGGGGCAGTGTCCCGAGCCCCACATGTTTGTGTGTCTGTGTGCAGGGAATGTGGAAGGCAGCTCCTGCTTGGTGACGTGGAGCTGAGAGTGGTGCCACTTAGCAGCTATCTGTGCCACTCTGGTACTCAGAGAGAAGGAGCCGGCAGTACCCACCCTTCCTCCTAAGCCCTGTCAGTTGTGCATTGGAAAGGTGCCCTCGCCCACCACATTTGCTGGAGTTGGACTACAGCTGGTAATATCAGGGTTCTGTGTTTTATTTCGTTTAATTTCTTGCACAATGCATGGATTTTTATTGAGTTTTGCCAATATGAAGCTCCATAGGGTATTACCGAGCAAGGCTGGTCTGAAGATAAATCAAAATTGTGTACTTGGAAAGACAATGCTGTATTATTTTCAAAACCCCCTGAGAGAAAAGGCTTTTTGCACTGGGTGAACTCCGGATCAGGTCCAGTGCAGACACTTGCAAAAAGGGGTGTTCCAGGAACACAGCATGGGTCAAGTGATGACAGTTTGTGGGGAATGGGTCTCTGAAGAGCTCTAACCCAGTCTGTTTCCTTTTTGGCTGCCAGGCTGCTAGTCTTCACCACAAATGCAGACTGTCACATGTCAAGGCTATTGCAGAGCTGAAGAATGGGACACAGGACTGGAAAGGCGAAACATTCTTTTCAAAATTCAGCCAATTTTTCTGGAATAAACGTTCCTTGCTTTGCTGTAAACCTATGCTTAATTTCCAGAATTGTGAAAAAGTTGACTGTAATTTTTTTTTTTTTTGCCACCTTCCTTTGCTTTTCCAAAGGAGAGATTTTTGTTTTGCCATTTTCTGTGATGTTACTTAACAATGTTGTAAGTAACATTGTTACTGTGGGGGAAGGCTGTCACTTAAAGTCTATGCACGAGGCAGATAATAAACAAACTGGAAAGCCATCAGCTGTGGAGGGATTAAGATAAGTGGAGTGGTGTGATTGGAGGTGCGGGGGCTTCTGAGGAGCTGGGTCCGGGCAGAGCTGTGTGGTAGGCAGAGAAAGGAGATGACATGGAGACCCTCAGGTGGTCATCTAGAAACTGAAGGAGAGCCATGTGTCTGGCGGGACAGTGGGCAGGGAGAAAGGGCAAGGGTCATATGGAGCTAGGTAGGGGCAGCGGCCGCCATGGGGAAAGGCACTGTGTCATTTCTGGTCCAAACTCAGACGTTTTTGAAAGAAAAAAGTGGATGCTATTAATAGTCATCTGGGACAACAGGTGTTAATGGGGACTGTTCCTGGAAACCCATGAGTAGGGGGCTTAGTGGACAGAGACAGTGATATCACCTTGCCCCTGAGCTGCCCACTGTTCACTGGAAAGTGCCCCAAGCTGTGAGCGTGTGTCCTGTCCTCTCAGTTCTAGCCACCATCACCCTGGTCCGCAGTCCTTCCTCTGGCAGGTGGGTAGCTCCATTGACAAGCCAGCTCTCCACTAAGACCTGTCTGCTTTGTCCCCTTCTCTCCTCTTACCCTGGATGGGGCGCTTAGGAACACTACCACGGAAATGCAAGAAGGAACTCCTGGCCGTGAAACTAAGGAACCGGCCCAGCAAACAAGAACTAGAAGACCGGAACATTTTCCCCAGAAGGACTGATGAAGAAAGACAGGAGATCCGGCAGCAGATCGAGATGAAGCTCTCCAAGTAAGTGGCAGCGTGCGGGCACAGCAGGGCTGCACCCTGGCCTTGCAGGCTGAGCCCTCTGAGATCCCACATCCTGGGTGTGCCAGGCCGGGGAGCACTCACAGTGTCTGCGGCGGGTCTCCTGGCCCCGCCACCGTTGACATTTGGGGCTGCATAGCTCTTTGCTGTGGGGGCTGTCTGTGCATCCCGTATGGATGTTTAGTGGCACTCCCGGCCCCTGTACACTACACTTCCTGTTATGACCAAAACTGTCCCTGGACATGCCTCCTGGGGTGTGGATTGCTCCACTGGCCTGTAGGAGCCAGGCAAGGACTGGGCCAAACTGATGAGGGCGTGGCTTGTCAGTGTTAGGGACGGGGAGTCTCTGTCCACCTCTATCTGACCATTTTCCTGCAAGAATGTGGGTCCAGTGCGGCCAGATCTTCTAAGTTTGTGATGTAAAGCTACATCCACACCCAACACACACCCACACACACACACGGTTATGCAGGCATGTGTCATTTAATGACAGGATACATTCCGAGAAATGCGTCATCATTAGATTTTGTCTTTGTGGGAACGTCACAGAGTGCACTACACAAACCCAGAGGGTGCGGTCAGCTGCACATCCGAGGGTAAGCTGCAGCCCAGTGGCTCCGAGGCCACACGCCCCACGGCACAGACCGCGCTGAATACTGTGGGCAATTCTAGCACATTACCGTATAGAAACATTCCTCAACAGAGAAGAGGTACAGTATAAATATGACATACAAAATAAAAACTGCTACATCTGTCTAGAGCACTTACCATGAGTGGAACTCGCAGGCCTGGAAGCTGCTCTGGGGGAGTCCTGAGTGGGTGGGGAGTGTGAAGGCCAGGGCAGGGCCGGGCCCCGCAGCAGCTGTCACAGACGCTGCATGCTGAGGCTATGCTACATTTATAGAAAAATTTTTTCTTCAATAATAAGTTAACCTTAGCTTACTGTAAATAAACTTTACCTTTCGGACTCTTATAATAACACTTAGCACAAAACACACATTATACAGCTGTACAGAAATAATTTCTCTTTTTCCTTATTCCATAAGCTTTTCATATTTTTCAATTTTACTTTTTAAATGTTTTATTAAAACACAAATGCCAGATTAGCCTAGGCCTGCACACTTTCAGACCATCGAGATCTGTCTTCCTCCTCCACATCCTGTCCCACAGGGGCAAGTGAATTGTAAAGCAGCCTCCGGCGGGTCCCTCAGGAAAATTCCAGAAGGCACTGTTCTCACAGGAGATGCAGCTCCACGCATGGCACCGCCCCTGTGGGACAAGATGTGTTCTGAGGGACCTGCCGGAAGCTGCTTTACAATTCACTTTTCTTTGTAATAAGTAGGAGGAGTACACTCTAATCATTCAAATAGTAGTGAATACATAAAGCAGTAACATGGTTATGTAATAACACGATCAAGTACGATGAACCGCACAGTTATGTGTACTAGACTTTTAGAGGACTTGGCGGCACGGTAGGTGTTTTTACACCAGCATCGACACAAACATGTAAGGAACGCGTTACACCAATATGTTATATGACAGCAACAACGTCACTAGGCGTTAGGAATTTTACAGCTCCGTCTTCATCTTACAGGACAGCTGTCGTCTATGTGGCCTGTCACTGAAATGTCATGAGGCGCATGTCTACATATATACACATGCATGTACATACGCATCATTTTCTGGACAGTGTGCACACCGAGTCCACCCATCTGCTGTCTGACTGCGACCCAAAGCCGTGGGTGGGCACCTGCTGTGTTGCACCCCCCGAAGGTTCCCTGGGTGGTCCCTGTGGTCTGCTGGGCTGGAGATGGATGATGCCATGGGGCAGGACAGAGTTGAGCTGCTGCGTCTTGCTGGGTGAGGTCTTAGGGTCCCAGGCATGCCCCTGAGACAGCGTGGGGGCCTTCTCTTGGAAGGCAAGGCTGCCATGAGCTAGGTGGAGCTGCCCTGTGTGGCTCTCCAGGGTTGGGCACCTCCCTAGTTGCTCTCCACATTCCAGAGCAATTGGAGTTCAAACCCCTTAGAGCTTGCTGCGTAGCCGGGTTCACGCCCATGACACTGCCCAAAGCTGCCAAGAGCCAGGGAGCAGGCATCGGTGGGCTTTCAGACGAAAGTCATGCCATTCCGGCAGGGTGAGCCTCTGTGTCCTCTGAACCTACCAGGCTGGATGGCGGGCCAACGGGTCCTGCATGCGGCAGGAGGGGACATTCTGTTGGAGCTCATGCACGCTGTCCCAGCAGCCACAATGGGCCTCTCCTGCCCATACTTGTAAGATGTGAGCTGTCTGTGCAGGGCTGGGCTTGGCAGACAGTGCCCTGGACTGCCCCTAGTCCGCACGCTCCCTCATTAAACCTCAAACACCCAACCCTTCCCCTGAGGGAAACCAGCTCAGGGAGTGCCACCGCCTCTGTTGATTTGTTCTCCACCCTTGCCGTCCCCTGCCCCAGAGTCACTGGAGACCCTGGGAAAATGCAGGTTCTGATGCTGTAGGTGCAGTGAGGCCTGAAAGTCTGCATTTCTAGCAAGCTTCTGGGGCTGCTGACCCCACTTGCTGCCGGGCTGCAGGTCACACTTTGAGAGGTGATGGTCTGCAGCAGGGTGCCCGGCCTGGGTACCATTGATGTTTGGGCCCAGATCGTTCTCCGTAGAGGGGCTGTTAGCAGCATCCCTGCCCCCACCCACTAGATACTAGCAGTCCACCCTCCACTCTGACCACGAAATGCGTCCCAGAGGCCCCCCAGTGTCCCCTGAGGTTAGAGAAAACAGAATGGTCCCTGGGTGAGAATCCATGATCTGAAGGTTGAACACCCACTCTGGGCAGATTTTCCTCTAGCAGGGGGGTCCCTTCATTACGAGGAAGGGTTGTTTCTCATCTCTGCTGGGGAGCTTGGGCCCAGTGATCTCAACTCCCACCCAAATCCTTACTGGAGTGTTTTCACAGAGGAGGGCCGTGAAGGTGAGCGGGTGAGGCCCGGCCTGGAGCGGGACTGTGCATAGAATGCGCTATCCTGCCCTTCCAGGCGTTGCAGAGCTGTTTGGGGCGCCGGAGCGGGCGGCATTTCTACCAGCGTTTGGAAAATCTTTGCCGGCCCCACAGTGTCCTCATCCCAGGCGTTCAGCTCTGCAAGCCTCCGTGATGGGGCACGGGTTCCTCCCAAGGCTTGGTTTTCCGTTTCTCTGATTTCTGGTGAGGTTGAACATTGTTTTCAGTTTTTATCAGCTTTTTGGTTTCTTCTTTGATTTATATACTTTGCCTGAAGTTTTCTTTATCTTAATGATTTTTCAGAGTTTACTTTTGAACCTGTGGCTTCTAATCCTTCCCAGTTTTGAGTTAGACGATTCTTCTCTCTGTTTGGGGCTTGTGTTTTCGGTTTTAAAATACTTTTCTTTGAGGCACCGAAGTTTTGAGTTTTAGGTTTGTCAGAATTCCGATCATAAATTTCAGGAACTCACAGCCTTTCTCTGCGAGGACCAAGGTGTCAGCATTTTGAGGTTTGTGAGCCCAGCTGTCTCCAGCCCTGCTCAGTTCGGCTGCTGTACCAATGAAGTAGCTGAAGGGGCACGGCTGTGTGCCAATAAAACTTCATTTACAAAGAATAGCCAGCGGTCCATTGGGTTCAGCTGGCACTTTGCTGACCCCTGATGTGCTTTATGGTTTGCACTGTTTGTACGTGTTTAAAAATCCTTCCCAGCCTGGAGGTAAACAGAATTCCATTCTCTCCTGTTATTTGCAGATGCCTTTACTTGTGCTAGTTTATGATGGTTTTCTATTTGATAATCAGACCAACTTCTTTCAAATTAAAATATTAAGTGAATTGATAGAAACAAAAAAGAAGTAATGGATGACAGCACATGTGGTTCCAAAAGCAACAATTCTAGTGGTACTTGGAATGAGAGAAGCCTGGGGTCCCCGCCCCTGACTGCGGAGGTGGAGAGGGGAGAGGGGAGAGGGGAACGGGGAGAAGATTGGGCTGCACTTTGGGATATCCCAAATGCCCCGCTATGTAAGAAATACCAGTAACACGGGCCCTGTGACTTGCTTTTATTCCATCACTTACTGAGTCTGGAACTAATTTTAAACCTTGGGCTGGAATGTAGTAGCTCCCTAGATATTTGTCACCATGTTCAAAAACCCAGAATTAGAGAAGACGGCAGCAGAGGCGCTGCCTCCCAGGAGGTCAGACATGGTTTCTGGAGGCACGGCTTGTTTCCCCGACAGCAGTGGCTTAATTGGTCTCCCTTTGTCTCGGCTCTGCTCCTTTCAGAGATTCCTCCACCATCTCTTGCTAAGTCAGTCAGCCTCTGGTTGCCATGGCAACGTGCCATCTACCGTATCCCAAAGAACATTTGCTATTTCCTTTTTCTAATTTCCAGAACCTTCATATTTTATCTTCTGAGTGCTGCTGGGCCTTTTCCAGGTGAAGCAGTCACTGCTCCCCACGGCCACTCCAGAACACATCCACGTGTTTGGCCCGGGACCCCTAGGGATGTCAGGGTCCCGTTTGAAAGAGTAAAGGTCTTTGCTGATTTTCACCCCCTCTCTGTCTAGGAGCTCAGCTTAACTTGAGTAGATGCATCCTCAGGCTGTGAGAGACCCACAGCTACTGAATGGAAGGTGTGGCCTGGAAATTATGCACAGAGGCACGACCTGTATTGCCTCCATCCTGTCTGCGGCCACCGTTTAAGGAGAACTGTGGGAAGGACCTGCTGCTGGCTTTCAGCATGGGTGCCAGCCACGTGCTGGGTGTCTGCCTTACTTTCATTTCCTTAGTCTTCACAGTGGCCGGTAAAGCAGGTGTTGCTATCATCTCCATTTTACAGATGGGAAAATTAAGCTTTAATGAGAAGGTGTCTGGCCCAGGGCCAAGCACCTCGCGGAAGCTGCTGAAGAGTGAGCCAGGGCCTGGGAGAACCACTCTAGACGCTGGGGCTCCCTAAACACTGAGGCTTGGCTTTGAATTTTCTTACATTGGTTTCGC